ATAACCTCTTAACCATGACCCTGTATAACCCTTTCCCAATGTTGGCCTTGTAAGCTTGTCAGATTTTTTTTTATACAAAACTTCAATTCTATGTTCCGGGAGACTGGCTGAGCAAGATTGACAAAATTCGTTCAACAACCCCATGTGCTGGACAACCACACTTTAGGGTGAGGATGCTTGAAGTAAATAATTGGGTCCGCAGGTTAGGCAGCAGAGGCAACTAACAAGATGACTGCTTCTGACGTACGAAGAAGGTGAGAGATTGACCGAAGAAATGGAGGACAACATAATTGCAAGCGCTAGCCCGCGTCCGCCTCGGCAGCCGGGCTGGCTAGACTAGACATCGCAAAGCAATTATGTCTGGCAAGGCTTGAACTGGGGGGGGGTTGTGACGGGAGGGGCTGGCGGGAACGTTCATCGCGCGGGGTCCGATGTCCGGATCGTTACAGGCGAGATCATCCGACCTGCAGTGAGCCCAGCGCCACCTGCGTTTGGATGAAGGAAAGGAACCCCCTACAATCAGGAGTTAAGCTCCATAAACAATCAGAGGACACAAGCGGCAACCAGCAAAACCCATGCCGAGCACTAAACATGAGAGCCCCCTACTTTGCCCGGTCAGAATCCTGGGAGGCCAGAAGAGTGTCATTGAGGGGTAGGAGTTTTTGAGAACCTAAGGGGCCGTTGAGGGGGGGGAGGGGGCAAATGGAGAAAAAGGGTAGAGATACGGGGAGAAGGCTGGGTCCTGGTTAGCTTGTTCCAGATGCTTAGGCCAAAATCCGAGGCGAATTAGTTTTGTTTGCCATTTTTTTGTTCTGTGGTCCTGTAGTCCTCTGGTCCGCTGATCTTTTGGGCCCTTTTCATGGGAGTTTCAAGCACTGCGCCCACATTTTGAAAAATAGCAGGGGTTGGGTGGGCAGGCAAAAGATGGCCGAAGATAAGAACATGTAGCTTCTTGCACGCTGTTGACGCTTTTGAGGGAATTTCTTAGCTGTTTGCTGGCGTTACAGTATGGGAACTACATGTTCTGCAGACATTCAAGATCCCCAAATGCTGTCATGTGTTTGCAACTCTTCAATCATTGCATGGGTTTTCATGTACCGTGTTTGCAGCCTTACCAAAACCCCAGATGCTGTAATTTCCATTTTCGTCGCCTTTTCAAAGCCGCAAGTGCTGTCATTTACAGTGTTCGCGGGCTTTCAAGAACTCCACGTGGTGTAGACTTGCAATCGCCGCAAACGTTGCTATGTTTAGAATACCCATAGCCTTTCACGATCCGCAAATGCTGTAATTTGCCCGCTTCATGATTTTCAAGAGCTGCCAAAGCTGCATTTTTCTACAAAATGATGAGTTTTCCCGCAGGCTTCGACTTTGCATACCCCTGAATGCCATATTTACTCGCGCTCGCAGCCTCCAGGCACACCCTCGGACGCTGTGCGATGATGAAAATAAACTGCTGAAGTACCCAAATGCTGCAATTTGTGATGCTACCAAATGATGAGTTTTGCACGGGCTTCGACCGCATATCCCTGGATGCTATGTCTACCTGCGCTCGCAGCCTCCAAGCACCCCCAGACACGCTGTGCGATGATGAAAAAAATTGCTAAAGTACACAAATGCTGCAATTTACAATGTGCTGGCCCGGTACCGGTTAACAAAAAATGCAGCACCCCAAATACCAAATCAATGGCATATGCAGCCAGCCGTGAACCCTGAAAAGGATATCTCCGAATTCTACACTGGTCGCGCAACATCCTATGCATGGGCCGTGCACTCAGTCATGGCAGGTTAAAGGACGGCTGGACATGCCTGTAGGCTTGGTGGGTGGGGTGGGGTGTGACTGGGGACTTGCTGACCCATGTTGCGAGCGCAGATTGGGGTATACCTAAGGTGCAGACCAGTGAGACCCTGTACCTTTTCACTCCGTTACCCCAGCCAGAGGCACGTTGGGCAAGCATTCTCTTGCAGAGAGCAATTACGAGAGCGGCTGTGTCAGTGCGTGTGTGTTAGTGTTCAGTCATATGAATAGTCTAAACTACAGGTACCTAAGCAGGGTTGTAAAAGGGGAGGGGGCGGTGGATTCTCTATGGTGGGTGTCAGGTCAGGATTTCCAACTAATTTTATTGATATAGCCAGCAGTGCCGGCTTCGAAAATTCACATTCACGTCGCTGTGACTTTGTCCCGTCACTGATTCCATGTCAACACAAGCCTTGTAGCAGACAGCATCTTCCCAGGTCACTATTAGATTGTGTGATTGGTGTGGAAGTAGGCCCTGGGAGCTCACCGCCACAAGGGCCGCTGGTGGCTTTCTTACCATGACTGACAATAAACGACAGAATATGTCGCAGTAGGCCGGGAGCGTACTGCTACAAGCCCCTGGAGCGTATTGCTTGCTACAAGCTGTTCGTAGTTTTCCCATTCTTTCACTTTTGGTTATCCAAGTCGCCTGTTTGACGCTTATACACATAGATGTGAAAGTGAGGGCTAGCATCGCGTATTAACTTTAGGCCTAACAACAAATCTTGCGGCAGTACGTGTCCACAAGTCACTCCCCAACATTGCGACCTACCAGCCTACCAGAACACATGTGGCACTGGACATAGCGTATAAACACTGAAGAATCCAACAACAGGTGTGATTGCACCCCCGATTCTCATGCTGGAGCGCCATCCAACCCATATGAGCGCATTCCTTCAACTGCAATGCAAAAGGGGAGTCTCTTTGTCTTGTATTCCTTGTGCTAAACGTCTGTCTGTGCGTGTTTTTTGGCCGGCTCTTGGCTCGTTTGTCTGCCTCATGCTCTCACAACTGTCTTGTGCGTGTCCAAATGCACGATCTGCTTCAAGTGAGCTGCCCAAGAAACTAAAGTCGGCGCCGCTAGTGCCTGCAATGGAGTCGCTGATGCAGTCCGTGAGTCATGGGACATGGAACATGGTGCTTTTAAGAGCTGGCATCATGAGAAATCCCTGAGTATCGTTCCCACTCAATCGGAGACACGGTCACACAAGGAAGGCAGCAGACTCGTGTCAGCATCGCTATATCACACGGCTCACAGTACGGCCCGCCTAGGCCGAGGAAGGTCAGCCTGATCAAATGATAGCCCCATTTCACGACAAAAGCTTGTTCATGAATGGCTCAATTTTCAAGACGACTCGTTGCGGTGCAAAATGTAAAGATTTGGCAAGACGTGACTTTGCAAACTGATGGCTAGCATTTTCAGTCACGACCAGTGTGCTCACAAATCCTCTACTGCTGTCATGCTCCGCTTCCGACTTCTGCGCGGATGAAACGAGAGATGAAGTGGGAGAGGTGGTTCAAAGCTTGAGAAGGCCAGGCTCTCAAAGAGCAAGTCTCTTTCGTCCCCGAACCCCATGTGGCAAGAAGGATCCTTTTTGACAGGTCCAGATGAACCATAGTCTAAACTCCTAGTATCCCCCTCAAGAACCCTTATGTTAGTCCCCAGCACTTTTGCGGCAGTACCAACAACGAAAGAGACCAATGAATGGGAAAACTCACACAAATGCATTTGTATAAACCACACCCTTCTTCACCTTGCAGTTCAAGCAATACACTTGGACACGCAAGCTCATTCTGATCTGCCAGCATAGATCATGAATTGATACCAAGACACTGTAATAAACTCAAGAAGAGATGGATAACGCAACAACCCTACATTGGCCTTGAAACGAAAGAAATGGAGTGCGGAAGGAACATTAAGCATGGGCACGGGTCCAAATCACCTCCTTTCGTGCCACAGGGAAGCGTTGCTGGAGGCATATGTGACATGCCCCCTTTTGCCTTGCGCAGTGACAGCGGAAAACTCAAGTAGCACCTTTTGTTGAAGCTACACCTCTTGGCCCTGCACTTCGAGGAGAAGGAACAGTTGGGATTGCAGTTCTCAGTCAGAAAAGAGTCTGAAAACACAAGGAAACCCCAGCAGACACACATATTAAGCCAGCCAATCTTCGCTCTGCACAGGATGCAGTGATGCAAGGAGCTTCTGTAGAGAGATGAGCTGAAATCATCCCCAGGTCTTGAAATGCACAGGGAAACGAAGTAGCAATAGAGGGCAAAGCTCCACCCTCTTCGTCGTGCAATTAAAGGTATGCTCTGACACAGGCTGAGATGGAAACTCAAGTAGAGATTTTCATACTGCAGCCAAGGAACGTAGTGACACAAGGAAACTGAAGACGACAAACTCGCCTGGCCGTCTCACCATACCGTCGCCGCGTAGTCCTGTCTTCCGACTAGTGGATGCATCTCTCCTTCGCCTCAAGCCCTGCTCCCGTCAAAACCCGATAAACCCTTCCTTTCTTCCAGCTCCTGATGTGCTTTCGTCCGACTCATGTTGTGCAGTGCGGAAGGGTTCGGAAAGTTGTGCAGGAGGCTGTAACTGTTGCAGAGTTTGACAGGGTATGTGGGGGGTTTCCAAAAACGAGGTGCACCTTTTGCGGAGTTCTCATGATGATTGGGTCTCTTCGGGGGTCTATACTGGGGCCGCCCCATTTCTCGAAACCCCCAGGTGCAGGCCCGAAGTCATCCTTGCCGTCTTTTTTCATGGCAGTGCAGTTGTAGCAATGCTTTACACGCGCTCCGGAGGTGACTGGGCAAGCCGAGAAAGAGCCTGCCAGCGTTCCAAGCCCAGTCACGCAGCAATTGCGTGCTTGTACTACTGAGTCTCTGCCGCTCCCTGGAAGTTTGGAGGTGCAGCTGGATCTCACAAGCGAAGGAAGGCTGCTCAGGCGGGGGTTGCTCCAGTTTGAGGTCTGGCTGATGATTTGGAAATCTACCATGAGCAATGCCACTTACGCACATATCCTGCGTTCATGGTGGATGTGATGTCCTTGGACCTGCTTTGTACCTTCCCTTACCGTTGTGGCTTTCATCGTGAGGTGGAGACTGCCAGTCTGTGAACATGTCAATCCTGAGGCTAGTGGTGGAAGGTACCGTGATCTTGGATGGGAGCCTGTCCCATCAGATCAAACCTGGGGAGGAGGTCTGGATGATTGAGGCAGAGCCTACTGCTGACATCACTCGCAAGTCGAGCCGGTGAGCCTGAGAGCAGTTGGTCGCAGGAAGCGCCAGATGGTCGCGAATTTGTCGTAGTTGAGTTGGACAAGCTGTGCAGCGCCGAGACTCGAGAGATTTGGAGAGCATGAACTGCAATCGCTTATTTAGGTTGATCATGATGCTTCGTGTCACGCTCCATACATCATGATGCATACTTCATATTTCAGATTCATTCGTCAACTCAGGGTTCCTGGCATCAACTGGGCCTCTGTGCTCGAGCCAAAGGCTGCTTTGAAAGGCGGCTGCGAGCTTTGACACAGCCGCCCCCACCTTCTTCAGGTGGAGGTCCTGGGTCCGTATGCAAGGCCCTCAGGCGCTTGGAATCCAAGCTCAGCTTTTGCTTGAGACGAGGTTGGGATACTTTGGCCTTGCATTTCTAAACTCCGCTGAGAAATGTCGAGAGTCATGGCAGCTCATCGGCGACTGACATGGAGATAAAGTCACCTTCTGCTCTGCGTGAGTGCCTGCACTAACCTCGATCTCACCCTCAAGGTTGAATTTAGTCATCCCAATGCAGGCAGGGATAAGATTCGCGTTCCGACCCTAAAAAGATGCTGTGTATGATTTGCTTGGTCATCTTTACCAGTTCTTTTCCCCAAGCCTCTCGCGGAGAAGGCTCAAGGAAAGAGTGACCTTGTTGGCGTGCGTAGGTGGAGGAAGCTGAGATGCATCACATGCTTCTCCGCACAGTACAGAAGCCAGCTTTTGCAGTCGCGGCAGGCGGGGCCATCATCTTTCATGCGCATAAAATGCGAAATTTCCCACGGACGCGCTGCGGCTCGTACATAGATGTTACTGCAGTCAAGGCCTTCGGACTCCTGCACAGGAACTGCAGAAGAATTCCAAGTTGCCGAATCGGGCTAAGGACAAGATTCCTAGAAACGCAGTCGTGCGCATGAGCCAGAGACTGCACAGGTTGCTTTGAAGTGAGGTTAAACTCTGTCCGGACATCGACTTGAAATGTGAATGCTGTGAATCGTTAAATGGCACGTCCTTACATGCCTTTCTCATGGAGATTGCGCGTGGCCTGGTTGGTTTCTTGCTTCAGTCCATGCGGCCACCCGCCGAGGCAAACCCTGTGGTCGAGTTGCCAGTCCTGACACGAGAGGAGGACCACCGGCTAGGCACTTTCCTTAATCACCGGCCTGCTGTAGTTGCCATTCTGCATCCGGTCCTTGAAATGGGCAGAAGTTGCAGATGCCCTTCGCAGGAGAGCCTTGTGGACGAGACCTTGCGGCACTTGCAGAGGACGAAGAGAGTGCTACAGCCTGTGGAAGGCAAGCGGCAACAGAATAGCAAGTATGGAGTATGTTGACGCAGAAGGGTGCTGGCAAATCAGAGTTTTCAGCTGACCGCGGCTCTTGTCGAGTTGTCTGCTCAAGAGGCCGCGCGGGAGCCTTCGGCGATGTTCATTGCTTAATTTGAATCTTGACAGGTGTGCATTGGCTCTAGAAAAAGTCAGAGTTCCGGCCGAGGTGCTTACGGTCGACATGCAGGGCTATGCCATGAAGGAGGCCGTTTGCTTGTGGACGTTTGCTGTGTAAACGAGCTTTGCCGGGCTTTGTGATCGAGGCAAAAAGCTTGTCATCTCGCCAGGATGGATCGCGAGGCGAGGAGTTGGATGTGGGATCAGCTGCAGCCTTAGAAGTCACGACTTTAGCGCGATTTGGCGCGCTGCTGCGCTGTGCGCTGGGGCTTCGACGCCCTTGGGACAATTCGGACCTCTCCCGAGATGCGTCCCTTCGGCCTGCTTGGACTGCTTGGACTTTCCTCATCATTTGAGACTGTTTCGAGTGAGACCTCTTGCAGCCTGAGTTGATCAGCATTTAAAGCAGACAGCACCTCGAAAACACACACATTTATTCGAGCCTGTTTCAAGCATTTCTCGCTCCAGAAGCATCTGTAGCTTAGTGATTTGTTTCCAGCGTAAGTACAACTGCGTCTCCACAAATTTCGCTTAAAGCCTTGTTTTGCTCGTGCCGGTGGGGTTGCAGAGGACGCATTTGGATTAGAAACAGAGGCTTTCTGATGCTCATGACGCCTGTGAATTTGAACTCCAAGACGCCCGCCAGGCGTGGCAGTTGACATGGTTGGAGTGGATTCATAACATCTCACACTACACGGGAACTCTGCTTTTCAGATTTCTTCGGCGGAAGCGGCTAACGTGCAAGGGGAGGGACAACGGACGAACGACGACGCATTCAGACACTAAGTCCGGAATGCAGGCACGGAATTCCGGAACCAGCCTGAAACATTCAGGAACCAGGGCAGCCAATTCAGGGACCGGGCCGGGACAATTCAGGAACCACGTGCATGCAAATCCGGGAACTAAGACCATCCTAGTTAACGCGACAGATTGGCTCATTCCATCTGAAGTAGCACAAATTTGCATTACATTTTGCCTCCGTGGTTCTCCGGGATCTTGCATCCTAAGCTGATCCTGAGCCCCCTCTACCAACGTAGTCAGACCATGCTAAGCCTGAAGAGGGCCGCTATCCTTTTTGCCGGTCTGTTTCGGCTTCAGTTTTTAGGGCTCTGGGTTCCCTGTGACATTCAGGATGTAGAGTCTGCGGGCCTTAAGGTTAGGGATTTAGGGCTCGAAGGCCTTCGGTTTGGAAGTTAGGGTTTTGGGCTCAGGGTTTATGATTTTGCTGTTTAGGATTTTAAGGGCTTTGCCCTGGGGTTTGTGGGTTAGGTTTCAGGACTTAAGGTTTTGGATTTTACGGTTTAGGTTTGTGGGTTTTAGGGTTAAGGGTCGTCAGTGCTTGGATTGCTCTGCTTGGGTTGAGGCACACTGGTGGTGATAGCGGCAGCAGGAGCAGAAAGAATTCGTGGTCGTCGTGGCGTGGTCGCGATCCTGGTGGCGATCGTGGTAGTCGCGGGTTCCGTGCCTCCGAATTGTTGAGTCGCGGCCAAATCGTCCTGGCTGGGTTCCCGAATTGGCGCTCCTCGGTTCCCAAATGTCGCCCCCCAGTTCCCGAATTTTGTTCCCCAATTGTGGCAGTTCCCGAATTTCGGCGTGCGAATGTCGCCCCGTAGTTTCCGAATTTGGCGGTCGGAATGGACAGCCGACAGAGGACGTGTTTAGGATCCAAGCAGTTTGCAGCACCCAAGCCTAGTTTAATCCCGCCGAGACAGCCAGGCATGCTAAAGTAGTGACTTGCTAGAGACGCCAGTGGTAAATTGCAGGTTTGCAACCAATATTCTCGCCGGAAGTCAAGGCTTGGCATGCTGTCGGAACCACGGGTCAGGATCAACTGGCATAGCTTCCGTCCTCATGGGACTTGCCACATTGACATGAGTTCTCTTCACGTTGTTTAGGTGGTATACTGTTGAAGTAGACACCAAGGCCACGGGCTTGGAGCTGGAGCTGGGGGCCAGCAACTTCTCCGCCGAGGTTCGGCTCGAAAGCAAAGTACAACGGTGCGAGGTAATGCTTGGATCTTGACGGAGGGTGCCAGTTCTTGACCGCGACATAGCTCTCTGCTCACCACCGCGCAGGTGGAACAAAGCCTGGATGGCATATCCGTGGGAGAAACTCGTGACGTGCAGGTTTGGCAGCAGGGTTGAGTGTGGAATGCGTTTATGTTGAGCTCGACGCTGGGGATGTGATGTGAGGCCAGGCACAAGATACAGAGTGTTGAAGAGGCTGTACAGTAGCCCTGCTCAAATCATATGAAGTTCCTATAACTGCAGATCTGCGAACGGGACTCAAGCCAGATGACTGCAACTTTCAAGGGTTCTCGGCAAGCAATTTCTGCATTTTCTGCTCTTTCTGATTTCAAACAAACACGGGACAACATTCGCCTCAGCTTCCCAGCTACGTCTTGCTCTTCCAACTGTTTTCTGATTGCGCTTTATCGGCACAACTTGGCCCTCGTTTCTGAATTTCTTGAGCCTGGAGGGCGGTATGAACATGATTCAGCAACATAAATTAAATTTTTTGAGAAGCAAAATAAGAAGCCGTACATGTGATGCTTGCAGATTGAAGAGGGCTGGTGTCATGTCTGCATTGGCAGCATCAGATGCCCCCTCTGACGCAAGAGCTCTAAAGCTTTCCGCCTACACCCATTCTCGCGCCCACGCCCATGCCGCACCCGCATGGGCGCGTGCCTGTCCCTGTGTACACTGGCATCTTCAACATCGGTAAGACCTTGTTTGGTTTTGTTCTCCGATAACTCGTTTCTTCCACGTCTTCACGGCAAAAGTGTCTCTTCAAATACTTTACTGCAGCTCCGGTTCTCAAACCTGCCCGTCTGGTACTCACTGGACCTCCTACTGAATGAAGCAGGCCTACGAAAGTCAGATCCTGTGGAGAACGTCGGTAGTTCCGATTGCCATCAGGCCCTGTGGGTTTTCAATTTGTGGGCCACTACCCCAACCATTGGCCCGCTGCTGACTGATCTCCAGGCACCCAGAGAAATGCACACGATGCCAGGTAATGTTGGTTCTTCTGGCGGCAGGGAACCGTGTTCGTCCTTGAGCACAAGTGTGAAACCTTTAATAAACCTTTCATGTTGCAGGGTGAGAGTGAGTGATTGCATGAGATTCCAGGTCAGTTCTGCTGTGGCTGGCTCTGACGGCCATGTTCGTCTCTCATAGCCATTTTTGCCTGAAATTCATGTCGCTATATATCACTGACAGCAACTAAAGCGTCATTCCTCAACTTGATCATGTGCGCTTTACAGGTTTGGTTCAGGCACAGGGGGACTGTCGTTTGGGAATAGTACGGGCAGGAAGGCTTGCGCGGCTTGGCGTGATGTCTTGACATGTATGGCCGGGACACGGCACACCCTGTCGTCAAGATCTAAAGATGCGCGATTGCGTGAGACTCTCACTTGAAGTAGTTGGCACTTCATGCAGTATCTAGTTCGCGACTCGATTCGCGATTACGTCGTGGTGCCTCACCCGTCTCCGCCGCCCCGCGGATCTTGCCATTCTTGCCAAAGGAGGTTTTCTGTGCACCGCACAAAGTCGGACCGATGCTGGTCAATGAGCCAGCCTTGTCAGCATCATTGAATTTCCATAAACCCACAACTTCTGCCTTGGGCTCTGAGGCAATTCAGCACTTTCACAGGGTTCATGACGGTTTTTCCTTTATAAGGGTTGGTATGAGGCTTGCTCCCGCAACTACGGCAAGGACCGGCCTGTATCTAAAGTTGCAGCTGAGGCCGCCCTGCCGCGACAATTGGTGGGCACCCATTCTGGGGCGGGCAAAGATACTGAGGGCCAGCGGTGGGACCCAAGGTCAAGCTAACTTGACTAGATCGACGAAACAATAACGTGACTCTAGAACACAGAGGAAACTCATTTTACGTTTTGATCAAAACGCCGACACCAAAATCACGTTTGTGGGATACAACAAGAAGAAATTCTGGTAAACACTTGACAGCTTCACAACCATGATTCACAAAGCAGGAAGAAACAATTTTAAAGCAATGCAACACATATGAACCCGCATACTTGTCCGTCAGCGAGCTGTAAACCCACAGTGAATGTATTCCTGGCGCATGCTGCCTTCAAGGCCTAGAAATGTAGCTTTGCCAGAACCTGGCAGCCACTTGGCCGGGACGCTGTCGAGAATGTCTGAGTCTGGGACTCTGGGACATTGCCTTTGGCAGGTCACTCTTGGCCAGCGAGCTGGAGGTATGGGCGGGCCGGTGCCTGACAGAGGACAGCAGGCTTGCAGTGTCTTGTCGTGCAGAAGCTGAGGCAACAAATCATCTGTGCTGTGACATGCCAAGAGGTCAAGGACGCAGATGCCCGATTGAATCATTTTCCTAAGACATTTTCAATACACCTCAGTGCCCCAAGTACGAATGCAATGCAAAGGAGGGATTGCCAAATTCGTGAGACACCACAAACATCTCTAGATCCCTGAACCTTGGATACCTGAAGCCTTCAGGCTGAAGGCTTGGAGTCAAACTTGAGGGCGTAAGGTTGCTAGGGGTTGAGGAAATCTCATAATTCTTGAGCTCTAAAGCGGTCCCAAAGCTAGGCTTCCACTTCTTGGGAAGCCAAAGGGTTTAGGTTTAGGGTACCGCAAAGATTATTATTCGGCAGCTCCTCAAAGCTTTAACGTTCTACTTCAGCAGTTGGCAACGCCAATTTGTATCAGCTGCAGCAGTGGCAGCCCTTTTCAGATCCACGTCTGGTCAAGGAATGCACAAGGCTTTGCTTCCAGGGGAAATTCTAGATCCACAGGGCAAAGCAGACCGCTTAAGCATGAAGCAAGAAGTATTATATAGGTGTGGTACCTTGATGGCCGTTAAGCAAGCCCTCGCGACGCAGCTGGTTGTTCCGAACATAAGTCCAAGTCCCCCAATTGAATATGAGAGGAGCGAGTTAAAGTTAGAGATGGGAGGAGGGGTCCATGACGCCTCACCTACCGTGAAAAGTGTGGAGTGCAACGGCTTGGGGGAGGAAAAGGAAAAGTGATAGTTCGGCAATGAATAGGCAAGCAAGATGCGGGAAGCCCATGAGACGGTGAGAACACGAAAAGGTGGAGGGAAGGAACTAGAACGTCGAGTTATGTAGCGGCAAGCTTGCAGCATTTTGTGTAGCATTTTGCTTTTGCAGGAGCAGCAGCTTCCAGAGCTCAATGACGAGTTTGCCAGAGAAATCAAGCGCGAAGAACAGTTCAAGCAGGCGCTCCAAGAAAGCCTAAGAAGGTAGAGATTGACAAAGCTTCTCCCCTATTTCATGGCGTTTCATGAGGCAGGGACCATGGAAGGCATCCCTGAGGAGGAGGAGGGTTCGGCCGAGGTGGGGCTCTGACTCACGTCAGAAAATGTCTTAAACTTTCTTTCTAAGCCTTTTCCAAGCGTTTTGTGCTTTTCGCTGCCTCGAGAACTTCTCCTTGGCGGACCTCCGCGCCGAGATCGGGCGGGAAGCGCTCCATCAAACTGGCAATTGCAGAAGTGCAGGTAGCCTGCAATCCATCTGGGAGGTACAACAAGTTGCTCAGACGCAGGCGCATTCACCCGCGCTGCATTGCTGGGTGTGGGTGTGCTTGCCGTTCTCCAGAGAATCGCTAAGCATGCCGCGGATGCACAAATCAGACGCGATTGTGAGCACCACCCGAGCCAGTCCAACGATGTCGTCGACACGCAGCTGCGATCACATCTGCGCCAGACACTGAAGGCATGGAAGAACACACCACAGCAATTGTTTCAACTACATAGTTGCAGAGGAGGTTCCCATTTATACTCTAGGTCTTGTGTGTATGGGTTCGTTTGTGTCCCTGAAGTGCTCATAAGACTTCGCGAACGTCACGGAAGAGTTTGAGGATGCCGGGACAGACGAAAGTGTGGTTTTTGCATTGGTACATATCGTGCACGCAAAGCCAAATGTGACTTCTTCAGGTCACAAAGTAGTCTGCCAGCTTCTGCGCTCAGCAACGTGTATAGACTTCGCGCAATCCTTCGTTTGTCTTTGTAGTCGGGCCATTGTTTTTCGTTGTAGGCGGGCACAGCCCTCGCCAGGTCAAGTGCGAGTGGGCCGATCTCCAAACGGAAGAAGCCACTGACGAGGAGTACCAGCTGCCGGCCAGAGTTTTTTTGGTACTTGGGTGCCTTGGCGCGTTTTTCAGGAGCTTTCCGTTGCCATTCGCTTTATCGCAGAGAAGGAGGCATCCCAAGCTTACCTTTGTTGATTCTCTTGGTCATGCATCCATGAGCAGGGCCTAATGCAGAACATTGATATGGATGATGTGGAGCGAAAAACTTGGAGCAAGCCGTGGGCTCAGCTTCCTTCAGCTTTTGCCGTGTTGTCATCAGCTGATTGACCTGCAGCCTTCTGGACGGGATGCCAGTCGCACGAGCAGCCAAGTCTCTAAGGTTGGGAGAACCGGAGGAGGGAGAGACCATTAAGCAAGTTGGCAAAGATCCAGCACGCGAGTACCAGGATCGCTTGTCCACGGCAAGCTATGTGACTGAGCGTGGGGTGATATTTGGAGCTTCTGCATGAAGCTTCATTCAGTGCAGGCTTCCTTCTTTGTGAAGGTCATGCTTTCAAAGCGCAGCCACTAGCTGACAGCAAGATAGAACCTTAACAACTAGAGGACGCGCATCGCGAAATTCTGCGCAGCCGCTTGACGGAGGAGGCATCGCGACTGACGGTCAATCGCTGCACATAGTCTAGAGTGCATTTTTCTGGGAGGTACTGTCGTGGCTGCGGCAGAAGATCGAGGTTGTTAAATGACGGAAATGCTGAGTAAGCAGCACAGCGCGGACACATCAAGATTGTCCGTTCAAACTTGCTGTCTGAAGAAGACCTGCGGGCACTTAGAACGCACTAGAAAGTTGACCTTGGTTCGTGGGAAGATTTCTTGGATGCCTTCAGCTCGGACTAACAGCGCTCACCCTGTTGCAGACGTTTCACCGAGACCCAGGCATACCCAGTCAAGGACTGTAAGCATAGGGTCAACATCCCAGGAACGGATTTTCAATCGTTTCTTCTGCAGTCGGAAATGGCGACAACCTGCGCCCCACCGTTTGTGTCTGGACACGGCGAACTCCACTGTTAGATTGTTTGACTTCGCGCTCTGCATCTGGAAATTTGTATCTGCCACGCTGCGTTAGATAAGGGCTCATGTACCACGTCTCGCAGGCCAGATTTCTTTAATGCAGCAGATGTTGTCAGGGAGGGTGCCTTTGTTGCCCGCGGCTTTTTTCCTCGAGACCTTGCGGCGTGGAGCCAAAGGCCAGGTCGTCTTGGACGCAGGCTGGACTCCGCGACTCCGCTGCCTTTCCCGCGAAGCCTCCTAACACGAGACGACACCTTTCCCCAATGTGTTCCACTTAAAGCATGTGTGAAGCTTGAAAAATTGCCACTTCCTGAGGGCAGGCTGTTGCAACATTATTGTCACAGCATCCTGCTTTGTCCTACATGGCTTGGCCGGCTGCCTGTCTACGGGCAGCGCAGTCCGCATTTGTGAGTGAACTGCGGCGGCTTCCATTCAGCTAAAGGTGTGATAAAGGGAGCGTTTTGAGCAGGAGATGGACATGCAGCAGCGGCGTTCGGCCAGCGAAGGTTTGTGCTGAGCTATTGCTGGGTTGAAATCAGGGCGAGCAGGAACAGCGGGTTGAGTAGAGACCTTCGCAGTTTGTTGCAGCGAGAGTGAAAGGAGCCTTCAAATTGAACCTCTCCTTGGTAAAGGCCGGAACACAGCCAGCAAATGGTATCGCTCGATTACGCCGCACGTTCAGAGCCAGGCAGGTGTTTAGATGCTTGTGGGCTGATACAAGTTCAGATTTGCAGGACAGAGATAGCCTGGATGATTGGCGGCGTGCCTACGACAACAGGCACACTGATATTTGCAGCTGACCTGGGAACCAGAACGTCATGGAGCTAAGAAGTGCAGCAAGCATGCATGCCCTGTTGTTGTTCTGATATTGAGCCGCATCAGTTCCGGCTTATGCTGAAGATGTGCGCGCGACCTGCGCATTAGTCATCATCAATCTGCTGGAACACTCGAGCAACAGTAAAACCACCAGCTGTGCCGCACGTTTGGCGGCTGGGCTTTTGTAAGCCGTAAGTGAATCTCAGTGAAAGATGTCGGAAAAGCAGGTTCATGGTCACCTCGCTGCAGTACATGCATCGCCACGTTGGCGACTGCGTCGACCAAGTCTATCGCACGCACGCCGAAAAGCAGGCCGAGTTGAAGATAGTTGAAATACTTTGTCTTGGGCATGCCAGTTGCAGTGCAAGCAGATTCACGTAGCTTCGAATTGACACGTGCCTTTCCGCTGCCGCCTGGGTTGCAGGATTATTTCCGACAACATCAGCTGCCGAACCTGACTTGGATGGACCCGCGCTTCCAGGGACGGTTGCAGATTTCAAAGAGCCCTGCCGTGTCATGTGCATGTCAGCCAGGGTCACCCATGCATTGAACCTCATACATTGGAGCTGTTCTGTGTTCATGTTGTGCTACGTTGAGAGATGCCAGTTCTTCGTGAAGAGAAAGTTTCCAGCGTCAAAATCGAATCTACCGAAACCTGAACTGTCTTAGGCTACTCACAGGGGCAATCGGGAAATGACAATCTTGCAAGCGCGAATGCCGGGTTATGCAGGGCTCAGGCTGCTGCAGGTTTCGTTCACACGATTCGAAGCATGTTCCTTGCGGTGATTATTTCCTCAACTTCGATGAGGTGGCTTGGTGAGTCCAACTGATATTCTTATACCAGAAGGCTGCTGACTTAGTGGGCTTCAAATGCCCCAAAGCCTCCAGGACCTGAATATGATGACGCATGATCGATCATTGCGGCAACGGCAGCCAGCGTGACTCGATGGCATTCAGAGCAGACCGACCACACAAGCCTTTGAAAACAGGGGCTGAGAATGTACCCTCGTTCTGAAGCATGGCGCTGTTGCAGCAAGGTACTTCGGAGATGTGGGGGGCCCGCCGAGAATTGGGGCTACTCAGACTGCATGTTGCATGTTGCAATTTATTCTAGTGTTAGTTTGTCAATTCAGTTACTTGAGTTGCCGAAGCCTTGGAAAAGGGACACTGTGGATTTCAGACTCGGCACCTAATAGCCTTCCACCCAAACCAGTCTGCGCACAAGGTCTTAGCGAAGCGGCAAGCAACTCCTCTGGCTAATCGTGTTCTCCAGCCGAAGCTGAATCTGGGAAGCAAGGCGTGGCCGGCTACATCGGCACTGCAAGACCAGCTAATGCTCGCTATGACTTGTTGCCAAAGATCTACAGAGACCACGGCAGACTACGGCCGGGCTCGTTTCTTTTTGAGCCAAACAAGGATCGTAGCAATATACTGCAATCCTTTGCACAATTGCCCATGTTTTGCTACGTTGTTACCTATTCTTGCTACACCATGGTGAGGTAGGCAACAAATTGGTACCTGGCTCCTACAGCCCAACATGGACTAACTTTTTGTCCTCAGCCCTTCTAAAGGAGCTCAGGGGATGAGCCAAGGGTACTCTGGGACTAAAGCCCGAGGGAAGTGCCCAGAACTTGCTTGGAAAGCCTGGAGGAGCGAGCAAAGCAAAACCTCCGATGTCGAGCCATGTGGTAGCGGGCACACCAGTTCAATCAGTGAGGATTGCCGATTTTAAAGTATGTCACTGATGGACAATTTTGCTCACCCAGGGTTTTGGGCACATAATATCAGTCAGAAAAAGGACAGAAGACTCGAGGATGTGAGAGCTCTTACGAGTGTGAGACTCCTTGTTTTGGGGTGAACTTGGTGCAGTTTAGACGTCTAATATTGACCTGTGCCAGCACGTATTGGCCTAACCCTGTCTTGGGAGATATGGCCCAAAGTATGGTGCGGGCGATTAATGTTGGACTTGTAAGCATGGCCAATTTCCAATTCTCAGGGATCCGAAGGTCCACCCCTGGGAGAGCCATTCCATCACCCCAGGTGCGATAAAAGACCATGGTCCGAATGAAGGCCAACATGCTTGGCCACCTGGGGCCATGCCGAAACAGGAGATTTTGCATTTGCCGACGAAAGACCGCAGCTGGTTGAAGCATCTCAGAAAATGGCTGTCAGAACCGATAAGATTGCAGTTGGCACAGGGGCCTCAAAAGATGATACAGCAGATGATTAGTCCGGGCATCACTTTTGGACCTTGATAGGATATTGGTCCACAACCCTCTAAGATGAGACCGCCAGGTGATCAGCTGCAGGCTCACAAGAAGGAAACCTCGCAGGATCCTAGTCCTCCTGGAATTGGGAAAGCACCAAGCAGGACAAACCTTTTTTTTTGGAGATGAAAGAAATATCCCGCTCCCCTTTACGTTCACTGCACAGCCATCCAGGCTTCAGATCGCAACGGGCGACATAGGTGAACCTAACGTCACCATTTGGAGGAACTTTCTGCGCATACCGTCCATTTTGACACAGGCATGCCCAAGATTGGGGCGAACACGTGGCAACTAGGAGTGTCACCTGAGGTCAACAACTTGTGCCCTGATTTAAGATGATATCCGCGCATGTCTGATAAGGTGCGACTTTAGATGAAGTCGCACGAGGTACACGTGACCACCCGATCCATCAGGTCCCCTTATGCCTGAGGTCGGGCCCTCCGCCAACAGAGGCCTAAGACTAAGGCATCCTCTTCCAGCGAAGGACCGCCGGTCGATGGCTGGCCGTCTTTGAGCGCCGGAACCCTGGAAGGATCAAGTAATGGCGTCGGAGATCCCGCAGCGGCGGCTTCTTCGGCAGGCACCTTTGTGGAGATGCTGTTGCAAACAAGCGAAGGCGGTCCCAAACTGCCTATGGCAGATACAGTTCCGCTTTTGCCTTCGAATGACAGTAGTCGATTGATTTCTGGCTGGACTCCCCCCTGTCGTCATGGCAGGTGTCCCTCACAGCTGAAGATCCTACAAAGGATGCAGTAGCGAGGCTACAGACCCGGGCAGGGTCAAGACCGGTGGTCATTTGACCCGAGCCAGGCTTCGGTTAGCGCTGCCCTGCTTCCTGGGCATGTTTGGCGTCGCTTTTGTGTGTGGCTCATCAGCAGGCACAGGACGCCCAGGGGCAGCGCTCTTCGTTTCATTTTTGGTGGAGGGCGCGCCCACTCGCGAGGCTTTGGGGCTGCCTCACCGACACGAATACGCACTGGTTCAGGGGAATTACCTCAGGCTATTCAGCTGGCACAGACTGGGATGCGATGGCAGAACAAGTTGGAAGCTTGGAACATCTCCTTCTGGAGCTAGAGCTAGAGGAGGTTGCGACTCGAGGATTTGAAGTTGCCACCATAAGCGCAGTAGTCTCAGGATTTTTCGGCAAAGATTTCCAAAAAGAATGGCCGTGGGTATAATGTCACCTGTGGCTTGGGACGGGAGGAGAAGATTCGTCTGACACGCTGGCAGCGGCGCCAAGTCGTCAGATTAGAACAGGGGAAGTCCGTTGCCGCGAGAGTTTCTGGTTGTACTTGCGTGTGGGCCAAGCGATACGCCGATACGCCTTGCATCGCCTTGCGGTGCATCCCTTGAATGTTGAAATCGGCGTGTGTTCCCGCATTGACTGCATTGACGGATCTTTCTTGGAGCGCTCCTCCGCCGATTTCTGTGCACTGGGGGATCTATGCACCCCTGATCCATAGGATTTGTCTCCGGTCCACAATGGGACCATTGGGATCCACCAGGGGATCATCATGCAGGCTGCTCCTTAGAAGAGGTGTTGCTTAGTGTTGCTTGAAATGTCGTCCTTTAGAACCTTCAATGCTTGGTAAGCCTCTCTTCCAGGTGCCAGTACGTGCTGTCTTCTAGGATGCTCGAGAGCACGTTTCGAAGATCACCCTGGTCTTGCTACTGAAGTTGCCGCTTGAGCCTTTGTCAAGGGGTGCAAGTATGCTCTAAGGAATTGACGTCGGGGCTCAGGGGCCGCATGGAGAACGCAGATGTTGCATCCTCATCGCTTCGGGTCCGGGACCTTTGCCCCCTTACCCCTTTTCGCTGATACCCACGGAAGGGTCTGAGAGCCGCTCTTTCCCGAGCCTTACCGGCCTTGTCATCAGACCATTTGGATGGCATTGATAGTGCTGGGTCACTGCTGGATCTGCCTGCTCTGGGGCTGGTTGGAGTCCGTTTTGGAGGTCTCACGTAAGCTTGTGAAGCTCCCCAACTCTTTCGAATGCGGCTTGGGCTCCGAGTGGTGGAGAACCTTCTTCCGAGGGCAGAATTCTTCTTCCCACAAGCCCTCGCGCGTTGAAGCTAATTCAAAGCTACTTCCGGTTGTTGCCTTGGCGACCTGACCCATTAGCGCAGGATCCACTCCTTGAGTTTGTTCAGGGCCCGGGATTCGGCATTAGCCCGAGCCAGCTCTTGGGCAACCCTTGGTGGCTCGGACGTGGCACGGAGATCCTGGCTCTTAGTTAGTTCGGCGCTGTCCGGAAGAAGGCCTAGAGGGGATGTATCCAAGCTATCTCCCTGAGAGGCTGGCCTGGGTCCATGGCCAAAAGACTGATAGCTAGAAGACTCCATGCTTGCAGTCCCCTCTCTCAACTTTTCGTTCAGCCACGAATGTTTTTTCCCAGTCTGGACCTCAAAAGACTTCAGCACCACCACCTCTTTTGCCGATATATTTTTGCGAACGTGTTTCAACTGAGACTCCTGTCAAAACAGGCGGCAGCTTTGTCGGAAAGCAGGACGGGTTCTATTGTCTTTTTAAGCGGATCGTCCATGGCTTGCCTCTCTTGGCTGCTTTGGGCACTGATAACTTGTTTGCTGTCGATTTTTATATAAACAATTACGGAGACCCACGCACACTACGGTGGGGCTCTTTTCTTTCTTGAGCCAAACAACGATCATAGCAGTCCTTTGTGCAATTGCACATGGGCTTGGGTAAAAACACCCCTGTCAGAATTTATACAAGAGCGGTCTTATTTGCTGCTTCCCTTGCAAAACGATAACCAATACACAAAAAAAGATAAGGTTTGCAATTCCAGAAGTATTAGACAGTTCCCCAGTAAAACGATAACCAAGAAACAATAACGATAAGGTTTAAAGTAGGATAGGACGAGTGGCCATGGGGTTTTCACACGAGCCCGCATGTTCTCCTACGTTGCTACCTACTTCTGCTACCTGGCACGTGTGTACATGCACTGGCCTCAACACGCTTTGAAACCAACTCAAGTTGCTGAATCTGTGTGTTTTGCGAGAAGGGCTTCAAAGACCAGCATGGGCATTGGCATTTTGCATGACGCTGGCGCTTGCTTTCATGTTCTAGTTGAAGCAGTGTCAGGCGCTGCGTGGATATGGATCAAACTTTGGAGCAAAGTGAATGGGAGAGAGTTTGCCTAGAACTATCGCGAATACTAAAAATCCTGCATGGCCCGAAGTACCTTGTACCTGGGGAATTATAGTACCATAGTATAGTATAGTATAGGTCATGCAGGATTTTAAGTATCAATTGTACCATCCTTCGCAGAACTGCGAGGAGGAAGTGTCTCACATGTCTCACATCTCAGTTACTCCAAGCGCCTCGGCCGAACAAATCTTAGACGCTGGCATTGGAACGCATCAACCTGCCGATTGCCTCTTTACCACATGGGCGCCAAAGAGTTATGTCAAGTTCTGTCGATTGACTGGCGCCTCAGAAGTTTGGCCTCCGCAATCGGTACGCACAAAAAAGGATGCGAGTACCAATCAAAACTATCAAAACAGGGCTAGGGCTTGGGGGCTGTGCTGTGCGGCAGAATGGGATGACAAAGTCTAGGAGCGCAATCGCCCCCCACATTGGCATGGCCATGATGGGCCGCGGGCCTTGGGATTCCGCTTCAGGGCATTCCGAGGTCTGAGCTCCGAACAACTGCAAAACTTTTGTTGGCGTTCCAGCCCACCTTTCTGTTGAACCATTGGTTATGCCCAAGCGTCCGCAACAAGCTCCCACCGGTCCAGCTGGCGAGTGAGCTTGTCGGTGGTTGAGTCAGATGAGCTGTAGGGCACTGTAGGACTGCAGGGGGTGATTTCCTTGTAGGTAGTGGTCTGCGGTGTCTGCACTTCCGCTCGTTTTGACAGAACAGCTGAGTGAGTATTGTGGTTTCATCGACGTAGCTCTGGCTCTGGCATCTTTGCCGGCACAATTACATCATAATTTTTTTGCGCTTGGGTGGAGCCTCGGACGGCAGACTTAAGTTGTCCATCACGTCAAGGGTGCATGCCCTGCATATCTTCGCCATCTCTAGCCGCTGCAGCAAAGCTGGGCAGTCAGAGGTCCTCATGTGACCGCTGTACGGAATGGTTGTGGTGTCTCAGATGTTTGTCACAGATCCTAAAATTCACTTTCCCACAGGCGCCGAAAGCATCTTAAGCTGAGGGCCGCTGTGAGTCACCTCTGTCACTGCCCTGCACTCAGGAAAGGAGACCGAAAGGATGGGAGCCGACCAGCCGACATCCGCCATGGCGCTTTGGCAAACGTGGCAGGCACAGAAGAAGGCCCCGAAGAAGAGGAAAAAAGCAAAAAAAGCAGAAGCCTTTGAAACTGCCGTCGCCTTCACTTTTTTTTTTGGAACTTTTTCGTGAGATGTGACAGGTGAAGGCCAAGCCGATGGAGAAGCTTCCAGAGGCCCACCCCCGCTGTCTGCATGCATGCTAGTAAACTCCTCTCTAAGGTTCTCTAGGAAGCTGTTGGTCTCCTTGCTGCATGATATGCGTCTCACACTTTGCAGCGAAACAGATGTGTGAGTCGAGATTTGGTGATGAACTCGGAAAATCAGAATCTCGGCCAGCTGTAGCTGTCAACTTAACCAATCCCCAGCCCCAGTAGTGCACAGAACATGTCTGATCCATGCACGCCAGGCCCTAGATATCACAGACATCAATTCCGAATGTCAAAGCAACACAAATGGCGAAATGGAGAGGACAAGAAAGGAGTAACACCTGTCGCGCTGGGGAAGAATCACACGCAAAGAAGAACGTCTCAAACAAGAGACGTGCATGTTGCGGACCTTCGGAAGGGGAGTAATTGAAGCTGTCTTTTCCTAACGTGCGGCCAATGCCATGATGCCCAACGTATGCTACAGGCAAGAACAAGAATACCCAAGTACAGGGCAGATCCTCACTCCAAGCAGCCCATCCCTATTTTGTGACCAGTTTGAGCAGCTCAGAGCACGTACAGGCAACATGGGTTCCTCTACCTCGCGTGCAGAGTTCGAAGCAGTAGTGGAACAATTTGCATCTTAACCCTCATTTGCTCATTCCAGCTGGATCGGACCGATCTGTCAATGTGCATGGGGGCCATGGGGGGGTGCATGAGAGGAACTAGCAGCAATAGCATGAGTCAACAAGGATGCTGGAAGCCGCATTCTGAGCGGAAAAATGTCTAGAAGGCTTGATGCGGCAGGAAAGAGCATCAATGACCAGATTCCTAGCTCGCGCGCCCTCGATCCGATGAAGATGCTTCCAACTGACTCGGCCGTTCCCGCATGTCTGATGCAGTGCTCTGTGGATCCGATTTACTCGACCAGTTGTGATGTCTAGCTGAACGGCCTGCGTAACCACTGCCAATCTGCAGCAAATGACGAGCGGTGTTCAGGACTTGTGCGTACCATGCATACGCCAACTAGCACCTTGCAAAGGAGACGCTGCCCAATAACTTCAGCTTGGAGGGGCCCATTGATTACATTCGCGCAGGCAGCGCAGAGGCCGCTTGCTGCTTCGAGCTGGAGATTCTCCCATTAGACTGACCACATTGCTTGTCAACAAACCTATACTCGTCACTAGAAGTCTCCAGCTCGACATGCAGGTTTCATCGTGCTACTTCGGCACTGGCAGCTCGGGCCAGTTAGAAAGCTGTCCGGCTTGTCCGCATGATGATTCTCCAATCCAGGGCCAAACTACAGACAATCACGACTCCGAATTCCCTGGCAAAGTATTCGAATAGTCTGTCATGGCTGCATGAGGCGCGAACTTGCTGCTGATGGGGCCGAAGTGGAATGTTCGCATCTCAGGAGTTTGTCTCTGGGGTGGGCAGTATGTGCGAAGACTGCGTGCAGCCTCAGGTGGTGAAGGATTATTTGGACCTTTCGCACGCAAAGGTTTCGGTGCTGGGTCCCATGGTGTGCCTTTCCGGAGGCTTGTTGCCGAGAATACCAAGCGTTTAGGGCTAATCTCAGCATTGTGCAATTTCCTGTTCTGTCTAAAAGGTTGAACAGCAAACAGCGAGAGAGCCATTGTGAGGACATGAAATCCTGCTGCGGCTCTTCCTCCCAACCGTTCCTGAAGCTGAGAAGTGGGCAGAGATTCTAAGTGTGTCTCAGCGGCATTGTTCCTTTGAACAGTCAGCGACGTCAGATTGCACCAAGCAATTTGCAATCACCAGGCCGCTAGCTTCAAACGTGCCTCTGACAAGTGGCCTCCCCAGTTGCAAGAAGAGCAAGGCATCCTTCATGATATGTAAGAAATGACTGGACAGAATCTCAGTTCATAAGCTTAATGTTTCACACGTTCAGGATCGTATGGATAGGTATTGACAATATTTGGGGATTCCTGGCCTCTTCAGCGCTGGGGTCATCCATGACCGGTGCAGGTATGTAGCACATTTGGATTACAAGATGCAGAAGCAGCAGAAGGCGCCAAGTGCTAAACAAAAGCATTAGACATCAAGGATGTCTTGGCCAAATCAGGCTGCCCGAAGGGCACAGAAAGCAGCTGCCTTCGGAGCCCTGGTGGAGCGGCTTTGTGCACCGAAGCCAGGGCTCTGGGCTGGCCATGAACTCTTGAGCAGTGGGCTTTGAGACTGCAGCTGAAAGGTCTGCAGCTGCAGCCGACGCGCGCTTGAAAGCCTTGGTCCCATCGTGCCACGGCAGCATACAGACCTCGTAACAATCTGACCAGATGGCATGGACGAAGCAGCCCGCTAGCCTGGCACGCAAAACTAGCCTTCCAATTAGGACACGACGTACAAGTCCCCCGTTCGCGCAGGTCTTTGAAGATTCGAAAAATCATTCAGAAATTCAAAACTACGTCCCTGTGGTGAGGGGAAGCTTCAAAAACGCCTTCAGATTTTACCCTGCTTTGAGGGCACGCGCCAAAAGGGCCTTAAGGGCCTGTTGCAGAAACGGAAAGCTAGCGCTCTAGGCGGGTCGCAAACCTTTTGCAGGAAGCTCGTTTTGGGGGTCGTGGTTTTTACTGGTAGCACGTTTTGAAATTTTCCTCACACGGAATTGAGGCTTTGGGGCTCATGTCTTCGGCTAGCATCATCAGCGCAATTGGGCCTTCATTTCTCATTCCCTGGAACCTCAACATAATTGGGGTTTTGGATGTGCGCTGGATCCTTCTATGTACCTTATATTTGAAGACCCACACGGACGCTGAAATGAGGACAATGATGTTCATGACGTTGGCCTCGTGGCCTGCCAGAGAGAGAAAATGCTGAAAAAAGTTGGAAAGAAGACAAAAGAAAACATGTGCCGCCGGCAGCTTGGCCGTAAGCAGCAGCAAAGGGCACAAACTGCGTGCTATTGGTAGTGCCGTGGCTGTCCGGGCAGACGTGCGCGTGCTGCGCAGGCCAACACTGTCAACTGCGCAGTCTGCTAGGTTTCATGGCATGTTTGCCCAATGTTCAGCAATTTGGATGCTTTTGAATTCTCTACCGTACGCCATGGTCAACTAATTCACATGAGAATATGTGGCTTTGCATGTGTGACCGCCGCACCGTGTAAGCCTAAGCGAGATCATGAGAAACCTTTGTCAGAACATGTTTGTTAAAGCCGACGTTCTCGCTACTTTGCATGGCTTTCGGGCTTTAAGGTCTTGTTGTCCCTACTCTAGCCGAACATGGGACCCCAGCAGCGCTGATGATGCTCCCGTAGGGTGGGGTGACAATCATGAGCACAATTTTGGTCTCAATCAAGGAGGCGGCGGGCGCAAAAGGCTAGGAAATTACAGTTTGGACAGGAACCTCTCCCGCTTCCTGTAGTTAGTTTTTCAGAGATCATCCGTGGAAATCGGTGCCAGGATTTGGGGTACTTTGGGGATTTGTCCAGTGCCACGCGGCCCTAAATGGAGCGAATATCCAAAGCACGGGCTCTGGTTTTGCACCACCGCAACAGGCAACGGATTCTGCGCTTAGCGGGCCGGCCGTCCTCATCAACAGCACTTAGTAGGAGCCAGTGCCGCAGTAAGAGTAAAAAGAGCATACAATAGTAGGACTTGTCGGAATAATAAGTGGTGACACCAGTGCTAGCGGTGGTGACTCTGGTAGTGATGGCAGCAGGGGGAGGAGGAGGAGGATGAGGAGGAGTGGAGTAGGAGTAGGAGTAGTAGTAGGCGCACCCCCCCCCCCCCTACCAACTGCGTTGGTTGATATTTCCACTACCAGACCTTTGGGGGGGAGGGGGGGGCGAGGGGGGGAGAATTGCGTATAAGCCCACCTCAACCAGTCAACTCAACTTGATGCCTTCCTTCGAATTCTACAACTAAACAAGATCATGGAGTTTCTCTTGGTTTTTGTGGGAGGCAAGCAAATGTGGATCCATAGGACCGCCATTTTGGCCCGCATTTTTGACTGTACCCGTCGAAATCTTCGATGACAGTGTGTTCACGTTGGCATCTCT